AATCTACTGACAAAAGCCCGAGTAAATAGCCCTACTGTTGTTAGAGAGTACTGGAACTCCTACTAGCTAGGCTGGTCATCATGTCTTCGTCGTCATCAGAAGAAGAGGAGAACACCCGAACACTCCTCCACCACAGCCCACTCCTTGAGAACCACGAAGGCGAGTTTACCCTTCCTCCTGTAGACACCAGTAGCAGTAGTAGCAGCGAGGAAGAGGATGAGGATGAGGAAGAAGAAGAAGAAGCCGCCGACGACAAAGAGGAAGAACGGCCAGTAATGACTCAAGGAACCAGCTTTGTTGTGGCAAATCTTCTGCACTTGCTCTGATCCAACATTGACTTTGGTACGCCGGCGCCGGCACCAGCTCCAGCCAGAGTCTCCTTGTCTCCCCAAAATCCATCTCAAAATCCAGCCACAACAGAGGCTGAAGAAGAGCCAACACCAACACAAGAAAATCCACCCAAAAATGCTGCTGAAATTGCCAGTGCTCTTGGTGTTGGTCGAGATTTTACCACCTTGGACTTGACAGAGAAAGAACAAAAGCTTCTAGAAGAGTGCAAGGACAAGGAAGACGCGGCAGAAAGTATGAGAAGAAATGTGAGAGCCTTCAAAAGCGATTCTTCGAGACAATCCGCGAGCATGGAGGATCCGTCTTGAGCAGTCTTCTTGAGATTGTTCCGTCGATTACGACCACGGCCACTCAACCAATTATGCTTTCTTCAACGTGGCATGCGGAGAAAAAGATCGCAACAAACATAAAATCCTCAACTATTGTGCCATCTTGTGCGGAATGAAATGGTTGTGCTTGTCCGTACCAACAAAGGCAAGCCTCTCTCCCCCACCGTCTTCACACAATACATTAACAATGTATTCACCGAGTGGAGAACCATGACGCACAACAAATTTCAGTACACCTTCAAGGAGGATTTCAACGCCAAAGGAGATTTCCACGGATTCATGATCAAGTATTGGGCGGAAATCCGCAAGACGGATCCAACTTTTGGAATTCGCAGTCATCATTCGGAGATTGATTGGGAAGCGGACAAGAAAATCCGCGAAGCGTCAAAGACGGAAGACTCCAACCTTGGACGAATCCAAAAGATCTCCAATCGTCTGTGTTTCCACCTTGGTCGATCTTTTCTTCTTCGGGGTGGTAAGGAAATGTCAAGTCTCATGATGCGGAATACTTATTCCGGGATGTACACTCGGGAGATGGGGGACCTGGCTGGATGTCTGCATATGGCAATCCGATTACCAGAAGACAAGACGAATCGACTGACATTTTACAATTCCAATGCTCTTTCGGACAAAGACCGTTTGTTGGAAATCGTCGAGAATCCTCGTGATCCACTGTGTGCTACAAGTGTTTTGACTTTTACCTGTCGAAGTGTCACCCGGAAGCCGAGAAGTTCTTCGCGAAGACTTCCTCCAATACGCAGAAGAAGGAATACAAGAAATATTACCAACCACCCAGAGCACGAGAACAAGTACAAGGATCGGGACATTTGGTTCTGTCCGTCGGGTGGTACATCCAATTACAATCTTGGCCACAACACCGTATCCAAGATGGCCAAGCAACTCGGCACGATCAACAGACAAAGACCTCCCGCCTCATTGACGGCCTTGATCTTGATCTGTGGTCTTTGATCTTGATCTGTCGTCTCGGCTGTCGGATTTTTGCCCTTGGGCTTCGCCCTCGTGCAAAAATCCTCCAGCCTCGACTGGATCCACGATCTCAGCCCTTGATCTTCGATCTCAGCCTAAAATCCGCTGGCGCGCGCTCTCGCGACGAATCGTGTCGGCTGCGCCTCCAAGAATTCTTGCGATCGCGCGCGCCATTGGATTTTCAATTTGCCGGGACGTTTTTCTACACAATCCAATGAAGTTGCATAGTCCATGGAAGCGGCTCGACGAGGGGGTCTTTGATTGGGTGGCTCTGGCAAGTTTCTCGAGTCGCTCACTACGCCCTAGTCCTTCTTGTGCTTTTTCTCTCATGATGGCGCGTATAGACCCCAATGAAGACTCAATGCTGGCATAGCTTCTGTTGGCTGGGAGATTGTTGACTGTTGGGATCGTCAGAGGGAAGGGTAGCACTGCTTCTTTCGCTTGACTTTTCTCGTTTCAGCACACTTTGAATTACTTTTGGATGTGGCCGTGAAGACTTTTTGTGTAGAAGGACTGGTGCGGTAGGCAGATCCAGCAACCCCAGCGAGGACAACGACGCTTCGTTTTGGACCTGTTCAGGCGACTTTTCATTTGCTAGAAAATCTTTGGCAATTGCAGCTAAAAACGCACTCAGACCCCCTTCATTGCTCGTGAACTCAAATTCACCAAAAGCATTGGAATGGTGCGAACAAAGAGCCAACACCTTCTTGCGGCACATTGATAAATCGGGAACTGCCAACTTGGTCCGATCATCACCATGGTCGCAACTGCATTCGTGTATTGTTTTGGACATGTCAATGAGCAAACTGACTGCCTGGGCGACGGGATAGTCCTGGCTAGTCACTACAAAATAGCCTCAAGAAAACATTCAGAAACTGCAACAACCTTACATCAGCAAACATTGCCATGTCGTACTCACCAATACCACCACCATCAGCGACCGACACCACGCGGGTATTCCGGGATGGCTGTCTCGACGACGACTCGACCGAAACGACCATGGGTTTCTGGAGTCCTTGGGCGCGGGAGGGTTTCGATGTCCACAGGAAAAATGATATCAGAAGGCATTCCAATCTTCTCTTTGTCTACCGCTTTGTCTTCAAGAGGGAACACCAGAACGGCCTTGATGTCGCTGGTGGTAAATCGTCGACAGGAGCCAGTGAGACCTCCTCGTCTTCACCCATTTCGGATCTTTCCTGACCGAGAAACTCAGACATCACTTCTTGTTCTGTATAATGCTCATCTAGCATGTTCTTGGTCGCATTGGAGGCTGGTGTTTGTCTCATCTTGGGGTGCTTGTGCGCTTCATTGCTGATTTGCCGCGATTGTTGCTTCGTGATGCCAAATCCACGGCTGGAAATAAGCCAGTACAGCTGCTATACTGGTACCGTACTTATACCGTGCCGGACGGCAATGGGTTGGGGTACCGGAATAGGTGAAATTCAGGACTACCAGAAACTTTTGTGTGGATCAGGGCAACAAACTGGGGACCAACATGAGGGCTGAAGGGCTTCGATCCATGGAGACACAAATGAGTGGCTTTAACAAGGGCAGTTTTGAGGGCTATCTTGATTTACAACATCATTTGGGATTCGGAATATGGGGTTTGCTGGTGTTGACAGTACCGGTAGTGGCAAGGCGTTGCAAGAGAAGTAGATCTAGCTTGGGGGCAAGCTTTTCACCCGCAGAACAACAAAGGGGTGGAAATATGTGTGACGGGGGTTCACAGGGGCCACGATATTTGGAACGTTTCGCACATTCCTGAGCTCTCAAAATGTTTGGAGTCAGCTCCCATTGAATCATTCCGCCGCGTCTGTGTGGCCTTTCTCGATTTCATCCTCCCCTGCCACCTCTCATGGGGAGCAGCGGCCAGTGAGCGAGAGCAGGATGGCGCCCACGAGACCGCCTCCAGTCTTCGGCTTGGGGTGGGCATTGGAGCCTCTGGCTGAGGCACGCGGTTGTTTGCTGCGCCCATTTTAAAAGATTTTTTACTTTTTAACGTGCTCCGATACTTTTTTTACCTTTTACATCCCTAAACATTCCTGTTCCAAATGATATTCTCACAGCTCCTTGTTGTCAATGAACACACAAGCAGCGACCCCCGAGTATCTGAACTCTTGCCCTTGCCCGCGGAAACATTCCTGGTCCAAACCATGTTCTCGCAACTTCTTGTTGTCAGCGAAGATCCAAGCGACCACCCAGCCTTTGAACCCATCGAATTGACAGTGGAAGCTCCCTGTCCTGGCATGCCCACACCACTGGCTTCAAAATACGGAAACAAGGTTGGCAGTGCCTCCATAGGCTGCAAACCATCCCACATCAAGAGCGAATTTTGTAGAGACCTGGACTCCCAATGAGATGAGATCTCACCCAAGTAGACAGATCCGGCAAGTGAAGCACGTAGGTCCTTTGCATCACCTGGGGATTCAAACTCGCGAAGTCCTTCGTGACGTCCTTCGTGACGTGCTTTGATTGCATTTATCGACCCCAACGAAGACTCGACACTTTTGTAGCCGTGTGGCCCTTGAGGGATATCAGGATCTTCTACAGGAAGATCTAAACAGCTTCTTTCGGTTGACTTTTCTCTTTGGAGTACGCTTCGGACCAAGTCTGGGTGGGGCAGCGTGGGGTTGTCATCGAGAATGACCGGCACAGAAGACAACCCGAGGAAACCCACCGAGGAGCAAGACACGTCGCTTTCGTTGTCGATACCACTGTCGTCGACACTCACTCGTTTCCTCCCGCCTCTATCCCCGCCCTCTTTGGAAGTGTCCATTGTCGTTGCTTTGCCTTTTTTTGTTTTTGTTTGACACAAACAAGCGCAACTCTGGCAATTAAAATTAGTGCCGAATGCCGGAGGTAATTATGAATCACGACTGAATGGTTGCACGTACATGTAGAATTAAGCGACCGTCAGAAGCTTAAATCGCCAAAGGCCAAAATAGTCTCCTAAAACCAGCAGTGGCCTTTTTAAACAATGGCCGAAACGGTAGTTTAATGCTTTGAGAATCATCCCTTTAAATCGTTGTAACGGTTGCTTAAATCCTATCTGTTGCCTAAATAGTCTCCTTACCTGCAACGGTCGCCTAAACGGTCGCCCATTTTTCAACGGTGTCGTGAAACTGACGTCACAAATCCCAATTGCCTGGATCAGGGTCATCCCAGGAAGACAACTTTGAAAATGAGGTAGTTGCGGTAAATAAATTTTACTATACAAAATTGAGAAGTAAACATTAACTTTAACTTTAACCTTACCGTAACTACCCGTATAAAACTGTCTTCCAGTACCGTCAGTACAGTCGTACACTGTAGTTCCATTGAACTTGAGCTATTCCACGTCTGATTGCCCCAAATCCACGACTGTAGTATCATTAATTTTAACCCTCGGTATTGCCATCATTTTTTCAGTGTCCAAAGACGAAGCACTCTGCGCTTTTGTGGCTGATGCCATCATCTCTTCATCTTTCATGTGGAATGCACGGTTCCTAGCATCTACACTGTGTGCAGCTCTGCTGAATCCTAGGATGAATGGAGATTGCCGGACACCGATCGCTTCCTCCGACCAGCTGCTCGAACAAGCAGCATTCGACTCCCACCGTTCCCGCAAGCAAAGTCCTCTTTGGAATCACCATCTGCGACAATGCCTGTCTTCGCCGGCTGACAGCGGCGTGTGGATTGTCTCTAAAAGAACAACAATACAACAGGAAGAGGAGGTGATCGAGAGCGTCGCGCAAGTGGATCTGGCCAAACAAGGCATACGTCTGTTTTGTCGAGATCCATTGGATGCTTTTGCTTGCTCGGCAGCGGTGGAGGTGACCCGTGCTGCTTTGGATTTACTCCCATCAGAGACCAGTGTGGATGATAAAAGAGAGAATGGCAGCGAGAACACAAGATCAGTACTATTCAAGGCTTTGGATAGACGCCTGATAAGTGTGCTACAAGATTCTTTGGGTGGAAACTACAACGTGACGACTGTGTTTCACTCAAAGTGTGGCATGTGGGTTTGTCCGACTTTGCAAAGAAATAATAATGAAGAAGACCTGCATAGTATTCCATCCAACGCATTCCTTCGCTCACTGACGCAATATGATGCCGTTCTGGTGAATTCTCGATGGACCTACGCGGGCAACGGATCTTTGGACATGATCCAGACAATGATTGCCAGGGGTGGAGGCTGTTGCGGGTTGCAAGTTGATGGCACTTTGGTAGCATGGGTTTGCCAATACCTGGACGGGGCACTGGGCATGCTATGGACAGAAGAAGGCCACCGAAAAAGAGGATATGTTTCGATGGTCATGAGGGCTGCAGTCAAAAGCATCCAATCAGCTTCCGAGTCCAATGATGAGCCCGTCGTGGCATTTGTCGTAGACGACAATCAGGCCAGTTCTGAGCTTTTAACAAAGTTGAAGTGGGAAAGGGTGGCAGATGCTGATTGGGTGCGATTGTCATTCGAACGCAAATAAATAGCCACAACAGTTTTAAAAACGCACAGCTGGCTAGCTAGTATGGGAGCAAATCAATACTACTATCTGCAACGAAGCTTAGCTGAAACAACGTAGTTTCCATCTCTCGCCTTTTCCTTCTGCTTCCATTCCATGCGGATCCTTCTCAGGCGTTCGGCGAGGTTGTGAATTGTTCGGGTTGCATTCACCGTCTCGTTGGGAAAAAGTCAGCCGCCATGGCTCTTAACAGACTTTGACGTGCATACAATTATAAGGAGAATCAAGATCGTCGCAACGTCGCACAAGTGTGTTGTTGGCGGTGATATCGTACCCGTAGAGTTGGACATTGGCCGTGTGCTACTAAGCGAGGATTTGTGATCAGAGCGATCTCAATTGATCGATGAATCTGTGGAAACAAATAACATCATGAATCCATTAGTTGCCGTCCGTACAAAACCCCTGCATTGCTGTACTGCCTTTATCATCGTTGTTGTTGTGGTTGTGCCGTCACGAAAACCAGGCCATTGGCATATTGATCAATCACACGCAGTTCACTGGAAGTCACCAAACTGAGCAAAGACAATCGTAGCCACATGCGACGTTCAATCAGTTTGGCATGTTGCATACTGTCATCGACTTGAAACCATTCCAATCGAAGAACTCTCGAAGAATTTTCCCATGATGTCGCCAATAAGGCCACCGCAGCCATCTTTTGAGACGTCGTTGTTCTCGTGACATCTTCTTCTTAATTCTTCTTTGTTGTGCTGCTGACATCGGCAATGAGCGCAAATAAGGAAGGAGGAATGCCTTCATCTCCCAGTCCATCCACCAACCAGAGTTCCAAGGGTGAATCGTCTGCTGACGCTGATTTGTCAGGCTTGGATGGGGATTCGCTGTTGATTATTTCTTGCGATTTTTCTCCGTCTGGATGATGATTGTCCGGGTTGTTATTCCTGCTAGCCATGGACTTTTTGTACCAATTTGCCAGCGTTGAAGCATCACCAGCGTGCCCCACACGAAACGACAAGGTCGCATCACTCGACAAAGACTCGGTACGTCCTTCTCCAATAGAAGCCACATAGCTGAGAGCGCTCTCCAAGTCTTGATTTTCCACCACGGGTGGATTCTCCTTGTTGCTGCTGCTCAACTCGGATGTCGTCGTGGTTTGGGTGGCAGACGTTGTTGTTTTGACTTTCTTGGCCGTGGAACTTTCCTGGGGGCTGCTCGTCAAGTTTTTGGTAGTGACATTAGTAGTGATGTTGCTTGACATTTCTGTCTTTGCAGTCGCCGACTCGGCGGCGCTGCTAGCAGCATTGTTGTTGGACGTGGACTTGTCGTTGTCCGTGGTGGGAGAGTACTTTCGGACCTTTCTTGTCTTTTCGCAGCTGACGCCACTCTCATCTTGAGGGTGCTCAGCCACTACTTCGGCACAGTCTCGCTTTGTCTGCCTCTTCTTCCTGCTCGTGTCACGGTCGTCGCCGCTGCTTGACACCATCTTGTCTCTCAGTTTGTTGTGGTTTGGTTTTGGTTTGTGCTCTAAAACTTTTTGTTTCCGGGTGATGCAATAATATTTTTGCTTTTCCATGGTCCGTTTAACGTAATCGTTGTGGCTAGCTAGCCAACTATGGTACCGGTACCGATACGGTACCGCAGTGCTCATCTGGATGTGTTGAGCAATTCGTCTTTGGCTGGACTAGCTAGCTAGGTATACCGGTAGGGCGTTGAGATGAACAAGGCGTTGGCCTGAGATGGTCCGGGCATTGGTTCTGGAGTTTTGACCATTGGTGGGGTATTCAGATGGACCAGGTATAAGGACCAGGTGTTGGCCCTCGTCTGCCGTACGGTACTGTGTGACAAAGCTATTGGCATACCGGCAGCTACTGGCACTTCCAGAATTTGCTTCCAAGATTATTCTATACAGAACCAAAAGCCGTAAAAGAAATAAAGCGTCGTTCTATCCTTTATCTGCTTCTCTATCTCTGAATTATGTTTGCAAGAGTGTTTTTCCGAAGCAACTTGGGACGACTAGCCGTACCCAGAGATTCCACCCGGCGCATGTCTTTGCGCTCACCGACGCCTCCGTTTTCGAGGAGCCTCGTCTTCCGATGATTCCTGCTCATCGTCATTGTCGTCGTCTTCCTCCTCCTCCGAAGATTCACTGTCAGATCTAGTAGCTGCAGATTGCTCTTGCTCATTCTGGTCTGCTTCTTCATCTGACGAGTCTTCATCGTCGTCGTCGTCTCCTTCGTCCGAAGACGATTCGTTTGCATTCTGCTGTCTTTTCTTGCCGTTTCGCTTATCGTCCACTACATCCTGGTTTCCGTCATCACTCTCATCATCTGAATCATCGTCGTCATCTGAATCGACATAATCCTGTACGACATCTTCCTGATCCATATCGCCATCATCATTCACAGTTGCAGCAAGAGCAATATCATCAGCTTCCTCACTATCCTCCAGCAATTCTTCTTGACACATCAAGACACAATTCAGCCGTTGTTTCAAGTACACACAATCAATATTCGTTTGCTTGTTCGTATCATACGTTCGTAAGATGCGATCACATCCCACTGCCGCCAAAATGGGCAAGGTAGCATGTTTGATCAATTGTCTTATGGACCCCGAAGGCCCCACGTAACGCCCGGTACTACTTCGGGTGCTACTGTCGACATGTTGTTGTCGTTGTTCTTGTCCATTGAAATTGTATCGTCGATCGAGGGCGTGCAAATCCCCCGTGGTATCCCCCGCAACAATATGATGATCGCTGACGGGACAAATGGCGGTAATGCGATGCTCCCGACTCTCGAGGGGTGTGTATGCCTTGGGACGTCGTAGAATACTGGTGGTTTGATGCGGAGGCATGCGTACGTCGTAGAGTCGTACTTGTCCCCATGCCGTTCCTGCGGCCAGCACGCGACTTTCGTTGTGGCCCCAAAATGCCAAGGAGGAGGGCCAAATGGGTTGCTGCAATAGTGTCTGCGGATCGGGTGGTAAATTCTTGGCCTTCCACGTGGCCTTTCCCGTTTCCAAATCGATTAATCGAACATCGCGTTCCCGACCTCCAATAGCAGCTGTACCATCGTCGGGATGCACTACCATGGCGGAAGCAAGTTGTCGGTTCATGACTTTTCCCTTGGTATACGTCAGCGTAATATTGTCGGGTGTATTGTCAAAGGCGGCAAAGTGATGTACAATGGATGGTTGTTCCGTGGTATTATTTGGTTTCAGCACGACCATGGTTCCGTGGGTATCACAGGCCACCAATCGGTTCGACTTTTTGATACATTCCATGGCCAATGGCTGTACGGGAACCTGGTCGAGAATGGAGCTCTTGGCTTGCTCAAAAATATCCCCCGCATGCACGGATAACTGTTGGTAGTGCGCAAACTTGTTTTTGTTCTGCTTGGTAAGCTCGGGACGCTGTCCCTGCCATAGTTGTACGGATCCATTGCTGCGCAACGAGGCAAATTGAAAGTCATTTTCGTTATCATCCTGGAGCATGGTCAAACTGACAATCCCTCGTTCCCTGGTCTGACGCTCGGCGGGGTCCACTCGTTGTATCCCATGGTGACTGTTGATTTTTTGCATGATATCAAAGCGAGCGGGTAGAATGATATCCGATTTCTTAGTAACCTCTCCCGCCCCCTGCTTGCGGTGGGCAATCTCGGGAACAAATTCCTTCAACAACCCACATTCGTCTCCTGTGATGAGTCTCATCTTTCTTGAGTATATTAGTAGTCTTGTCTTGAGTTAGTTAATCTAAGCAAGTTATGCTATGGCACAGCGATTTGCACACCCAAAGAAAGAAAGTGGAAGCAACGAGTTTTCTCAGTTTGTTGGAACGGTTTCTTGGTTGGCTTGGAAGAGGTCAAAGGACAAGCGGACAGGCGGTTTGGCGTCAGGCTGAATCATGGATATTTCTCCGCTTCGGACGGCCAAATTCGCGACGGAGAAAGTCCCCACAAAGCCCTCGGGACACCACAATCGAAGCGAAGGCCTTGAAAGGAGTAGAATTGATCCGAGTAGAGCATTCCTCTTTTGTTTGATGGTGTTCTCACAACCCACAATCCATGAAAAGAGATAATCAATAACAGAATCACAAAGATAAGATAAACAGCTAGATAAACCATGTCATTATTCACGCCTGTCCAAGGAATTGTTGGTGGAAGCCTGATTGGTGAGTACAGTCGTACCTGCACCAGTACCATGAGAGAGATAGTCGTTCCATGGTCATGGGTATCAGCTGGGGGTATCATCAATGTTCACTCATCCATTCCTTTCCCACCCAATCCCATTCATTGCGTTTTCATCCCCTTGACAAAAACAAATAAATCACAGGAGGCTCTGCCGGGGTCTTGCTGATCCTGAATGGAGATATCATGGGTGCCAGTGGCATCCTTTCGAATGCCTTGGTCAACCCCATTCAAGCCATTCAAAATCCAAAAAACCATTGGCGATACGTCTATCTGGCCAGCTTTGCACTATCGGTCAATGTATTTGTCAACTACCTGGCACCCAAAGATTTCATGTCGGATGAACGATCTCTCGACAGTGATGTACCCATCCCCTCGGCAATTGCGTACATATTGGGAGGATTCTTTGTCGGTTTGGGTACCAAAATTGGAAATGGATGTACGACAGGTAAGACGATTGATTATGCGAACGAAACAATGGTTGCATCCACAATCGTTCGTTGTGCTTGAATGGATGATGTGTGTTCTGAATTGAAGCAGATGATTCGATTCGGTTCTAATAATATTGTTATTTGATTCTCTGTTGGTCGCTCGGTTCAGGACATGGAATTTGTGGTATTTCACGATTTAGCCCACGCAACTTGGTGGCGACATGCACATTCACAGGATGCTCCATGGCCACCACATACTTCCTTTCTCCGTTGCGACAATGGGGATCCATGACCGAGTTCTTGCGAACCACGGGAATCCCGGCCATGTCGTCCGTCGGAAGTGGACTCTTCTTGGCCGCAGCTGTGTTTGCGGCACTGGCGACCCCGGCATTCAGTGCCAAAAATCGTTCCGCTACGCTGGACCAAGCACAAGGTGAAAATGAAGATCGAAAGACATTGGGGGCCACCCTCTCGGGGGCCATGTTTGCCGCTGGTCTTGCCATTTCTGGAATGGCCAAGGCATCCAAAGTACACGACTTTTTGTGCATTTCCGGATTTTCCAAGGGATCCTTCGATCCAACCTTGGTAGCCGTCATGGGATGCGGTATCCTGGCCAGTTGGTTGTCGTACCAATTTGTGGATGGATTTTCCATGACTAGCAAAACGCCATTGACATGCCCTCTCATGGGGGACAAGTTCTCTGTCCCGACCAACACGGCTATTGACAGTCAGCTCTTGCTGGGCACATCTCTCTTTGGTCTGGGATGGGGTATCACTGGCATTTGCCCCGGACCGGCCATTTTCGCGGCGGCATCGGGAAATGTGTATGCGACTCTCTTGTGGTTGCCAGGTTTTGTGGTGGGTTCCATGGCAGGCGCCAACGTGAAGGAAGCTATGAACAGCAAGAAGAAGGCTGCCTGATCAGGGCGGTGATGAGCGGAATGTGTAGTAGTCTGGCTGGAGGTTGTACTGGAACGATTGCATATCTCTTGTGTATAAGAATAAGATAGTATGACGAGCGTAAGATGTAGAACCCCTCGATGAGTAGTCAAGTTACGTGAGGTTGACCGAAGGAAGTAGTCCGGATACGGTAGACTGGTTAGTACGTTAGTACTTTTCGAAAGCTTGCTTTACAATGCAGGGGGTTCTTGTGCTGTATCCAACGACGTTGCTACTCTTCGACAGTCTTTTCTACCAATCCATCGAAAGTTGTGCTGGAGCTGTGCCAGAAGACCATATGATGTCACTCCACGAGGGCCAACCACACTCTGCTTCCGACTTCCCTGTGACGAGTGTCCTTCTGCGCCTCCGTCCTTGACTGCTTGTAGTCCAAACTTCTAGTGCCTACAGCGGCCATTGCAATTGGGATACTCAAACTAGTGCGTCGTCTACAAGTGACATAGTAAATGGTACGATAAGTTGATGTACTATTCGGATTAGTTTGACTATGTTTTGAGGGACAACGAGCAGAAGAAGTCTTGCCACGTCTTCCAGTACGGTACGGTATTGTGAGAGCTCCACAACGGGAGAAGACATTGTGCGGATTCCAGCTCGTTCCCTTGCCCTTGGCAGAGACGGCATCATCTGCTGGCTCGACTTTTGATATCTTGTGAAGGGATGGTGGCTCCATTCTTGGTCGTGAGACAGACAGCTCACGGGACATTTGACGCAGCAGATATTCGGACACTTGGCGATCAAGTGTCGCCTGAAAGGAATGAATGTATGTATGATGACTCTGTGAACCACTGCTTAGTCTTCATCGCTGAGAAGATCTTCGTCATCACTGAGGAAGTCTTCGTCGTCAATCAAAGACAGAGCCTCGTTGATGATGGCAGTCAAACGAGGAGCGGTGATCCCTTGACCAGAACCTCCTGCGATCGGAGAGAGCAATGATGGCGCAGCAAAAGGGTTTCCGTTGGAAAACATGTTGCAAGGGAGGTTCTCAGTAGAGGTGGGGAAAAGCGGAAAGGAGCTCTTGGACATGGTGATGCAAAAAGTTGTTTTTGGTATCGAGATTGAAAGGATAAGCGAGTTTGTAGGCGTTCTTGTCGAAAGAATTGTGAGACTTTTTGGGAGGCGTGTTGGGAGAGCTGTGCCCGGAAGGAGCAATCTGCACTCTTCGCATTTTGCCAATCTGACGCAGAATGTTGACAACACGTCAGGTACCTTTGCTCTCTATGCATAATATTATGGTGGAACTATGGTGGTAAGTCTTGAAGGCCACAGTACCGAGGCCGAGGGAACATGTCTTTCATATTTCTACTTGAATTCGACGTCGCGTTTCCTACTGCGCAGCCCTCTTAGCTGTTCGACCAGCTCAGCTGAGTCTCTGCGCTGGTGGATGGGTTACGTCTCTGGCCACTGGCTACCACAGACCAAAGGCTACCGGTAACCGGTAACCGGCAAGAGTAGCTTTAAAGGAGACGGCAAGATAGAGAAGATAGATAGAGGGGTAGAGCTGCAGAGCTTGTAGTTCCAGCATCAAGACAAATAGACAAACGAAGACAATGGATAAAGGAGAATCTGTTAGCCAAATTGTTGCCCATCATGACCCTCCTGGACTGAGTCAGAAATCCATTTTCTGAAAGTCTCTTAACTCTAACCTTTCCCCCAGCGAATATTTTATTTCGGCTTCCGTCTGATCGGAATGTTTGGCATTTAAGAAAAGTAGGAAACGAACGCCACGCATCAAAGGCCTCATTTCTCACATTTAAGAGTCTCTTGCGGAGTCACAGTTCGTCAGTGGTCGAAAGAATGCTGCATGGTCTTTCGGTTGAAGCATGACTTCTCAAAATGACTCTAATGCGAACTTCAAACTCCGGGCTGTTCCCAAGGTGAAGCTCACATTTATTAAGCGCGAAAAGACAGTTCAGGCCGGAAAAAGAGCTCACATTCTTTCCGATTGGAGGCTTACTTCCGCAACATGGCTATTGGCAGGAGGTGTGTGGTGGGAACAACACAGCAACAGCTTGGATGTCGTCGTCGATTAATTTTGACCACATCAGAGCAATTCCGGCTATGGAACTTGCTGAGGTACTCGTACTGTGTACTGAGAACTGAGATCACTACTCGGAGTGAGTACATGGTACATGGTACATGGTACATGGTACATGTACATGCAGGTGTTGAGTGGTTGAGTATCACGCGCCACGTCAACGAAGGTTATAAGGTTTTAAGTTTATACCGGTCGTATGGACAGTTTTGACAATTCCTGCCGCCACAACAGAGCGTGCGCTTGGAGTATCGTTAAGTTTGCTCTTACAACTAAGAACAATTTAGGGTTCGTCTGCTCGTCTATCACGATAGAGTCTGTGACTGTACAGTACTAGTATGCAGTTTGGTCGATTGCCAAACTAGAAAAGGTCATTGGCAATGGGCGGGCTCTTTAGTTATCTGACTCAGGCCATGCGATGCCCTCTGGCACAGCTCAAGCTTCCTACTAGATGTGCAAATGTTCTGTAGTACGGTTGGGAGTTGGGAGCCTAGCCAGTATGAGAGTCTGATCACAACACACAACACTGATCTGGAAGGCACCAGGTTTAACGTTGAACTTGACTTTCAGTTTTCAAAGTCGCGGTAGTCGCGATAGTCGCGAAAGTCGCGCACCGCGACTTAACAGCGACTATTTTACAACGACTATCGCGACTTCCGCGACTTTAACGCGACTTTTACGTGTTATTTACTAGTACTATTTCGCGACTTTAAAACGTCTATTTTACCGCGACTAACGCGACTTTCGCGACTTAAGCGCGACTTTATAGCGACTATAGCGACTACCGCGACTATGAAGTATTTGGCGATGCTTCAACATGGCCGAAACCTGGTGCCTTCCGGGTCAGAATCACGGAGCTGGTATGCTGGTATTGGTGTAAAGGAAGCGAAGACTTATAGTGATCATGAGCCAGTGTTACATTCGACCTGACTGCGCTTTGCAGCCACTTTTCACTTCTCGATCTTGTTAGTGTTCGAAGAAACGAATCGGGCTTCTGAACAAAACTGGGGAAGATGGTGTGAGAGGGCAGGTGAGCATTTAGAGGCTTCTCTAAGCGGACAATCAACCGAACCTTGCTGGAGTGCTGTAGTAGTAGACTACTCGAGTAGCTAGCTGATAGCTGCCTAGAAGAGTGCTCAATTTCAGGATCTCTGTCAATCGAGCAAGAGGCGGTAGCAAGACCCTGATGATAGTGTAGCTGCGATGATATGTCAGCTATGTAGCCTCCTCGTTTTTCGAGTACTCCAGCTAAACAAAAGGAATGAGGTTGTTTTCAACGCGTTCTTCAAAGTCAGCCATGTAGTAAAGAACCGCTTTGCTTGCAGGGAGCAGATTGAATGGTTGCTCTGCTTGTCAACGGTCGCTCGGTTTCGGTTCAGCGACTCTCTTTCAGGTGGCAGTTGCACAGCCGAATAAACCGTTCCATTGGTGGCGAAGACAAGCCTGAAAATAGCGGTATTGAGGATATCGTGGAAACACTGAAATTCCACGATGGGCTACTTGTTTGCGTGGCGTCTCGTTCGAAGAATAATCGGCCATGACGACGATTTGGAAGAGGAGGAGCTATTCCGATGAGGACCACTGTAATGGTCGGTACCAGGTACAGCTGTACGAGTACTTTCATTCGAACGTACCGGTACCGGTACTACTAGATCGTTGATGGATGTAGAGTCGCTGACTTGGTAATGTAGACTCGATGGAGCTGAATCCGGCGCAATGCTTTTTGTTTTTGTTGTTGTTGTTGGATCGTTGGATCGTGTTGTCATTGGCGGGAAGAGTTGCACGCAAAGGCGTCGTTGTTGTATTCTTCTTGTTCGATGGACCAGAGGAAAGGAAAGAGGAATCGGTGGATCTCTTCTTCTTTGACTTCTTGACGGTGGCAGCCTCACCAGTCTCCGTCCAAGTCAGCAACGACGCTTCTTGGAGGTCCATGTTCCTTCGCGGCGCTCCAGCCAAACTGCTAAACTGCTGCGTAAAGCCGAAGGCCACAAGCTACGAGAAGGAGGCGGTGGCGGCAGTTTCTTCGGTGAGTTAGGTCAGATCAACTGAAACAACGGTGAGTTGCCAAAGATTGGAAAGGTAAAAAAAGAGATGGTTTGATGGTGCAATGTGGGCCAAGTAGATTGAGTGTGAGGAATCAAGTTGTTGGCGCGAAAATGGTTTCGGATCCTCCCAGGGTGTAAGCCAGCCTTAAGCTGTCGATAATAAAGGACACCAGAGGTGTAATAGATATACCGGGCGAGTTGCATTATAAAAAATGAGCCAGTTTGGCTGAAGTTAGTGTCATTAGATTCTTCCGTCTGAGAAAGTGGCTTGGTAGCTTAATGGAGTTTAAAGGTGCGCAACGCGAGTCGTTAGATTTTTCCATCTGAGAAAGTGGCTTGGTAGCTTAAGGGAGTTTAGAGGTGTTCAATGTAAGTCATTAGATTTTTCCATTTGAGAAAGCAGCTTGGTAGCTTAAGGGAGTTCAGATGTATGCAATGTGAGGAAAATATGATCTGTTGCCATGATGATGAGAATGCGTGAGAAATTCGGATATTGGGGCCCAAAGGGCCAAAGGGGAGCTAAAGTCACTTAGAGAAAGCTCTAACCCTAAGGATGACCACTCAAAACCCACCACGACCACAAAAGATGACCTCAGAGATGACCGGGGTCTGCCCGGTATATATCCACTCTTTTACATAGATGGTGCTACTGCTATGTATCATTGAGGGAACAACAAACACCAATCTTTCGGTTGGGCGTGGCTCTTTCTTGCCGTCGGCAGAAGGCTCGGTCTCCAGCGTGGAAATAGGCTTGTCATAGTTGTATTTTTTTGTGGTTTCCAGCGTGGACTTGAATTCCAACGACTCTTCTTCTCCATAGAAATCATGGTCGATCTCAATAGGCTCATCGTCGTCGCAAAGAAAGTCTTGATCTGCTAGAATGGGTGGTTCATTGTCAGGGTCAAATAGATAGTCGGGATCGGCTTCAAAGAACGCATCATCATTGTCATTGTCAATGTAGTCAGGGTCCATTTGAATTTCGTCATCTTCTCCATCATGGTCAAAAGGGAAATCTAAATCGGAAAGGACCTTGTTTTCATCATCGAAAAAGAGATCTAGGTCAGGGTGAAGCTCACCGTAAGATGGATCATCATCATCAAAGGAAGAGCATAGGCCACCCGTCATGGTTGAGGAGCCGAAACCAACCATTTTCATGACGGGTAAGGCGTCAACCGTCACATCAAAAGGCTTTCTAGCCGCCATTGTCACGGACATCACAGTTGTTTAGATCATAACTGCGACTGTTAATTTGCTAAAGTACAAGTACTTTGAGGGAATCTCCCTTGAGTGTTACCGATTCAACCACGCCAGGAAGATTTATTCCCAGTACCTTTCTACTCACCGTGATAAAAGCACGGCAAAAGAGTAGATTGGCCATCAGAAGCAGGCTGCTTGGCAAAAGCGGCGTAAGTGGCAGTCAATGCTGTAGTATACCCTAATAGCACGTACAGTGGTTGCTTCGGAGTTCTGAAAGCAAGCCAGTAACTCGGAGTTGGATGCTGTGTTCGCAAAGCACTATCCTACTGTTTTACTATACGTTGGCACAGTGGTTTGCAAATATCGTACTGCATCCCCTTTTATTTTCATTATACATATTGGACCAATGCTGCATACATATAAGTAACGACATGTCAACGGAGTATTGAAAAGTACTCAGTTTTTATAGTAAATTCATCAAGACGGGTGCAAGAGTGTGCTTATGCAGGATTCGAAGGAAAATGAGGTATTGCGCTTATATCTTTTCGTGCTAACCGGTAAGATCCAGGAGTTCAATTCCTACGCAGTCTTAAGTAATGATGATTCAGTCACACGTACGTCTCGAGAAAAAGAACACTGACGTACGTGGCCGAATAGTGAGCCCGGTACTATTTTACTATAACGTAAATTGCTGCTTTGACTACCAACATGCTATTGCACCCCTTCTCTATTTTTACTATTGAAATTCAGTAGAAAAGATCTACCCAGGTGCAGTCACGGATTATCAAATTTTTTTCTCATTTACTATACATACGGAGTTACAGTGCGTTGAGGCGCATGCTTGGGTGATACTTAGCACGTTCCTTTTCCGTTTCTATGATTATCTAGGCACGTACCCCATGCAAATCTCTAAGTACCGAGCACAAACCAGAACTCTTGTTTCCGGAAAACTACGGTACTCCACAAAATGCCACAGAGATTATAGTTTGTTGCCTCTTGTTCTCTGAAATGGCTAAGTCAGAAGTAAAGAGTGCTCCAGATGGCTATAGAGCGTACAGTCTAGTGAGTTACTTATTATGGCTCTGATACCCCAACTATGGGGTATCAATAGTTAGATCAAGGTGTAATCTAGCTACTGGAAGTGCTCCGGACGTTCTTTGGGGTACTTCCCATACCTCTAGGGTGTTCCCAAGGGTAGCAGGATTTATGAGATTTCCTTTGGCAATAAATATAAGGGGAACTCGCCGTAGAAGTTCGAAAGGTAACAGTCCCTTCTAAAGGTTGGCATTGTAGCGTGGTTAGCTTCGACTAGACCCGTTGAAAATGTGCAAAGGCAAACGATAAAGAAGAAAACTATGAGCTATTAATAGAAGTCTGCATGACTGTGGCAATAATAATAATGCAGGAAAGCTGTGAAACAGGCTAAAATAGGGTAAGAGGCACGACTGAAATTGCCAGTTTATCAGCAGGGAGAGTTGCTTGGTAACTAGCTAGCTGGCTAGTGCTAACTAGCTGGGGCTCTGTTGGAGGTTGTATTACAGACACCTCAATACAAATTATTCGTTTACCCCAATCTAGTTTAGAGGGGATATCTATATCAATTCTCTAGTTACATACATGGGGAGTTTAACTGATCTATATGGTCACCCCCTTCACTATATCCTTTGAAGTTGAATCAATCTCAGAAAACATGGAGAAAGATCACTTCTTGGCAATAGCTTAACAGTAAAACAGTATTTTACCTTTACTAAGCTAGAGTGTTACTAGCAACCAACACTTTTCCCAAGAAGTGTTTCATCTCGAATTCGAGATCTCGTCGCCAATGGTGACATTGACATCCACTATCAAGTCAATCCTATATGAGTTCATGCTAAGGTATACAGTTGAACGATACAGGCAGGTAAGGGCTCTAGCCTCACTGAGAGAGCTATCCAAACAACAGCCTTGCAGGAAAAAGGCAACATCACAAAATTGTGCCTGGCTCGGCTCACCACATTGACTACACCGGAGCAATCGGTCCATCAAAATACGACCGAATCGTAGCAATCGGTGCATACCGCGTGAAAGAACATCACTAACTTAACCACTCTATTGCTTGAACGAAGCGAATCCAACAGAAACTGATTGAGCTACCACCGATTGAAGATTTGCTAATAGCAATCAACTTGTCCCAAGAGTGAGCTCCAGTGTGAGAATGTCCAGCCCACAGGAGTGAGCGAACGGATCAAGGAAGCAAACTCGTGCAACAAGAGCTGAAGGAGCAATCCTACATTGACGATCCGCAAGGACAACACGAAGGTTTCAGAAGCGACAAGCTGCGGACGAAGAGCAAGCTCACAGGAGTGAGCAGAATACACCAAGCGTACAAGCTTGTTTTGGATCCACAGCAGCACGCCATCGTGTTGATCCAATAGGCGTCCTTGGAACAAGATCAAGCAAGCTCACAGGAGTGAGCGAACTGAAGATCGGCTGTCTGAAGCAAGAACAGAAGCCAAGAGTTTGTGCTGCGGAAACAGCCATCGTACGACACGAAAGACAACTACACCAAGAAGAAGACTCAGCCGCAAGCACGAACTGAATGCAAGGGTGTTATGACAAAGCTATCTAGCTAGCTATACCACGACGAGTCCAACAAGGCAGCACCCTACTGTACGGAACATATGTACGGAGCGCAAGCAGCCAAGGCTACTACGGAAACAGGTGGTCATACGAAGCGTACAGGAGTGACCCGAAGAGTGTCAACCACCACCAGAAGAGCACCACAACACCAGGAGTGTTGGCACGGAAGAGGAACTAGATAACAAGTTCCAACAGAAAGAGGAAGATCTACCACAGAGGTACTTCCGTGGGAGAGTTCCTATCCTCAACAAGAGAGCCATCGAAATAGGCTACTAGAAGAGAGGTGCGACGGAAAATTCCGCCGCAACAAGCCCAATTGCCAGGCCGATTACACGGCAACGGCTGGTCCTACGGCAGGACTGTCATACAACAAGGTGTCCTTTGAGCAACAGAGGACAAGGCCTGAAGAGTGCAAGCCCTCGAATGCAACAGGAACCGAGCTGCGTCCCCTGTGCGTTCAACCAAAATTGAAAGAAAAACCACAGGATGGAACAACGACTGCTGCAGCTGCTACGGCAACAACAAGAACGGCGACAGCAGTCGCTCCTGCTAACAAGAAGCAGAACAAGCCATGGATCTGTCAGCAGCACCAGAAGCAACAAGACGATCAACGAACGATCGAAGGACCGAAGCTACCGCTACGACGGTAACAACAAGAACGGTGACCGCTAATACTAAAAAAAAATAACGAAGTTTTATTATTTAGGCTGCACCTCAATAGACCACCCGCTGAACGGAGCCATATTGAACCGGAGTACCTCAGACGTACAAAGACGCCCACATAGGAACCGGCCTAGTGCA